TCTTTTTTTTTTTTTTTTTGTGGTACCGGGGATTGAACTCAGGTCCTTGCGCTTGCAAGGCAGGCCACTGAACCGCTGAGCTAAATCCCTGGCCCAACATAACACATCTTAATTCCTTATTTCATCCCCTTTCCCTCCCTCCCTCACTCCTTCCATTTCTTGAGACCCTTTCTATCTGAGAAATACATTAATGAGAAAGCAGGCTCAAGCAGGTAAAAGCAACCAATTAGATGGACACGTGTACCTGGACGGATTGTAAAAGTACAGTGCTGGTTATTTTAAATAGTAAATAACATCATACCACATTTATAAATTAAAAGCTCAAGGACGTAGTGACTCATACACAGAATCCCAGCTGCAAGGGAAACTGAAGCAGGAGGATCAAAAGTTCAAGGCCAGCCTGGGCAACGTAGCAAGACCCTGTTTTAAAATAGAAGAGAAAAGGCTAAGAATGTAGTTTAGGGGTAGAGTGCTTGCCTAGTATGCATGAGGCCCTGAGTTCAATCCCACAAAAATATGGTGCTATGGTGTGGTGGGCAGCCCTGGCATGTTGTGCTCTCATGCAGTTTCAGGAAGGAATAGTCTATTGCCTCAACTCACCATCACAGTAATACTGAAGCCTCAGATGCCTGATGTGGAAATTTTCATCATGTATACCAAAGATATATCACAAAAGGGTGTTTATAAACCTAAGTTGATTAAATATTTTCAGACATCTCCCTACAATGCAATGTTGGGCCTGAAATCAGACCTCTCAACTTCTCTGTTCATCAGGGTCTAGGAAAGTACCCCATGAGTAGCGGTAAGCAAGAGTCCCTTTGTACCCACATTCCTGCTAACACTTGTCCTTTTCCAATTTTCTTATTATTGGAAGTGGCAGACTGAGACATGTACATCAAGGACACATCTCAGGATTGTAGCATTTCTTTGATTATTATTGGGTTTGAGTGCCTTTCTTGACACCTTTCTGGTCTGCTTTTCATGTGCTTGGCCCATTTTTCCTGTTGACTTGCAGGAGATTCTTAGCTATTGTTGTCGGTTTACGATGTTACATGTATTCTTATGCCAACTTATGCCTGATATTTTATGTTGAGTTTATCCACTTTGTCTAGGTTTCCAAATTTATCAATGCATTTGTTAATGATGCCTTTATTTATAGGCAGGAGATTTTTTTTGTTTTTGTTTTGTACCTGGGATCTAATTTGCCAGTGCCACTTATTTATAAAACATCGCCATCTGTTACTTCCCAGTTTTCATTCTGTATTTTATTTGCATCTTCTTACTTGCACTGATTTACCAAAGAAGTATCTTGTTAATCTTTTCAAAGAATGAATGTTAGATATTTTTCTTCAGTGTTGGGGATCAAACCCACAGCCTTGTACATGCTAGGCGAGTACTGTACCATTGAGCTATATTTCCAGCCCAAAGTGTTTTTTTAATAATGTTGTTTGCTATTTAATTGTTTGTTTCATTTCCATTCAT